GGGAGGAATCCCCGCCCCCATCTCCACCCCTTCTGCTAGGCCTCACTCTTCCCCGCCCTTGCGAGGCAGGGCAGTGCACTATGCATGTGCTCCCCCTTTCCAACCACAGGGAAGGGAAGGGAGTGGGTGCGCGCTCGCTGCAGCCTCCCCAGCCCCGGTGGAAGGTGCTCCACACCACATGGCCAGCCAACCCCAGCTCAGCCTTGGAGCACCGGGGCAGGGAGGAGTCAGGGTGTGCAGCACCGCCCAGCCTGGCCCAGTCTCTCCAGCCCCAGAGCACCGGGAGGGCGAGTCCGGGGAGGGGGGGCAGGAACACTCTGCCCCCAGATCACCTCAGGCAGCTTACTTGGGGGAGCATGGGGGAGAGGTGTGTTTGCGCCCTAACGCTGCACATTTACCAAAGAAAGCCTACACCCAGCAATGCCTGCCTGCTGCTGCCAGGAAACCCATCCCAGAGCTTCCCCATCCTCCTAGGGAAATTGTTTTTCCAACATAGATCTCCCCCACTGCAGCTTAGAGTTGGAAAGTTTTTCCTTCGCTCTTAGACTAGGTTTCACACCCTCACGTAACATCAAAACCAAAACTTAATGATTCAAAATGCCAACACTGCCCTGAAGCATGGGTTCTTTTCTTTTGCAAAACATTTTATGAAGCCAAAGGAGGCAGGGTTATAGGAGTAAAATACTTTTACAGTAGACCTGCAACGTTTCACCATGAGTAAAACCATTTTTTTTTAGCATTCCCGCTGTGTTGGAGGTTAAACATGTCAGCTTTTCACTCCCATTCACAATGGAGCTCCTTCACCCTCTCCCGCCAGCCTCTCCCGGCCCCTGCAAAATGTGTATATTTCTCATGGAATGGGAGCCTCATGAGGAATAACGGTAGTTCGAACTAGGGGCTTTAATTCGAACTACGTAGACCATGCTGCAGGCAGGTAGTTCGAACTACGCGGCATTTAAAAATGGCGATGCCCGGGAACATGCAAAGGAAGCCCGGGATATGTAAATCCTGGGCTTCATTTGCAAGGTCAAATGATTACATTGCTACCTTAATTCAAACTAGGGTGGCATTGTAGACATACCCTTAGCGTGGGCGCAGCACTTAGGAATTCGACCATGGGGGCAGATATTTCAAAATAAGGTCCTAGTGTAGACCAGGACCAAACATTTAATCCACTCTCTTCATCTGGAAACCCACCTCACAGTCGTCAGGTGGATCTCGTGATGAGCACAGAGGTTTTCTGGCTGGCCAGTCAATCCCGAGATTCTAAAGCAAATCTCTTGATTTTTAAAGTCGGCCTTTGGATTTCTGAACTGCTCCTGTTCACTCCAGGCTGATTCAGGACTTTTATGGTTTTTGGAAACCAGTTGAGAGAATTTCAAGCTGATCTCTTGTTTTCTAAACCAATCTCACAATCTCCAGGCTGATTCGGGTTTTTTATGCCACTTGCACATTTTTCATCCAGTTGCTGGATTGTGTCAGGTCTGTGTTGTAACTGCTGGCTGCTTTGGATTGGCCACTCCGCAATACCCCCAGCGCAGTGCTGCCCGAGCAATCTCTCCACACTCCACTCGGTATCCCCCGGGTGCTGTGGTGAGATGAGGAGAGGCATGGCGGGGGCGGGGGCGGGGACGGAGAAAGGGGGTTGGTGAGTTACTTTGGCAGGTGTGATGTGCTGTAAGTCCTCCATCCTATTGGGTGGGCCTGTCCCTTATGGTGTCTCTCACCCACTGGATGGCTTTGCAGACATTGGCATAGACCCCAGGCAGTCCCCGCTGGGCACAGATAGGTGTTCCCCAGGAGACCACGCCCTGCAGCATCCCCTCGCAGACCAGTGGGCCTCCAGAATCACCCTGCAAAGAAACACGGAGGTATCAGCAAACACAGCCACACCCCAGTGCGTGTGCACAGCGAGCAGGGCCCGGCCCCTGCAGCGGGAGGCAGCAGACACACACACAGAACTCCCATCCCCTCCAGCAGGCACCTACACACACACAGACACACAACAGGCCCATCCCCTCCAGCTGAGGGCGACAGCCAGACAGACCTACCACATGGGGCAGCAGGGACATACAGACAGGAAGGGTGTAAAGAGCAGAAATGGGGTCAGGCGAACCCAGTTTTTTCCACCAGTGCTGGGGGTCAGGGCAGGCCAAAGAAGTGACTGGAGCATTTAGGCCTTGGTGCAGCTGGGGGGCAGACTGGCTGCTCTTCCAGGGGGCAAGTGGGAGGGCTGGCGACTGCCCCTCAGCAGCAGCCTGGAAGGATTTGGAGGTCGCCGGGGATAGGACAGTACCGAGCCCTGTGAGCGCCGACACCCGGCACCTGCCCCGATCTCCAAGGTTGCCCCTCACCTGGCATGAGCTTCTCCCGCCCTGTTCCACGCCGGCGCAGAGCATGTTCTCTGTGATCAAGCCCCTGTAACGCTCCTTGCAGCTGTCCTGGCTGATGCTGTAGATCTCTGCGCACTGTAATTTCTTGGGGAAGATCTCTGGGCAATGACAGGAAAACACGCTTGGGAGGAGGGTGCAAGAGACTTAAATTTAGTGTAAGGCCCTCAACTGGCATAGATCCACTGACCCCAATGGAACGATGGCTGCTTGAGCCCAGCTCAGGATCTGGTCCCATTGACCCCACTGAAGCTACGGCCCATTAACCCCAGCTGGGATCTGGCTCTGTTGACCCCAGAGGAGCTCCAGCCCATTCACCTCAGCTAATCAGTGTAGCAGCATTGCATAAGAGGGTTTTTCTGGCGCAAGAAGGGGCAGTGTAGACAGCTCCTTCTTGTGCAAGAGCCTCTTCCGCAAAATGGCGGCTCATTAGATATGCAAATGAGGCTCGGGGATATTCCACGCTTAGCCTCATTTGCATAGCTCTGGCGCAAGATCGCGCCAGTGTAGACATAGCCTATGAGTAGTAATTCCATGCTCCAATACTAAAAATATAAAGGAAGGGATATATTATAGACCATCTGAGCAGGACAGTGATAGTGGCTATGAAATGCTGAGAGAGATTACAGAGTCTATCAAAATCTAACCCCATATTGACTGGGTCTATGTCACCTCAGGACGGGATGCAGAGGTACAATTTCTTGTTATCTTAAGTGACTGCTTTTTGGAGCAGCTGGTTCTGGAACCCAAAATGGGGGTATGTCTACACTACCCCGCTAGTTCGAACTAGCGGGGTAATGTATGCATACCGCACTTGCTAATGAAGCCCGGGATTTGAATTTCCCGGGCTTCATTAGCATAAGCGGGGAGCCACCATTTTTAAATCCCCGCTGCTTCGAACCCCGTGTAGCGCGGCTACACGGGGCTCGAACTAGGTAGTTCGGACTAGGGTGCCTATTCCGAACTACCGGTACACCTCGTTTCACGAGGAGTAACGGTAGTTCGGAATAGGACCCTAGTCCGAA